GTATCTCAAGGCTATGGATGTTGTAGGGCTGTCATGGTTGACACGTCTCTGCAACATTGCATGGTCATCGGGGGCAGTTCCTGTGGAGTGGCAGACCGGAGTGGTGGTCCCCATCTTTAAGAAGGGTGACCTGAGAGTGTGTTCCAACTATAGGGGGATCACACTCCTCAGCCTCCCTGGAAAGGTCTACTCCAAGGTACTGGAGAGGAGGGTCCGATCGATAGTTGAATCTCAGATTGAGGAGGAGCAATGTGGTTTTCGTCCTGGCCGTGGAACTGTGGACCAGCTCTATGCCCATGCAAGGGTGATGGAGGTGGCATGGGAGTTTGCCCAACCAATCCACATGTGTTTTGTGGATTTGGAGAAGGCTTATGACCGTGTCCCCAGGGGCACCCTGTGGGGGACGCTCCAGGAGTATGGGGTGGGTGGCTTTCTGTTAAGGGCCATTCAGTCCCTTCTCCAGAGAAGCGTGAGTTTGGTCCGCATAGCCGGTAGTAAGTCGGACCTGTTCCCAGTGAGGGTTGGACTCCGCCAGGGCTGCCCTTTGTCACCGGTTCTGTTCATTACCTTTATGGACAGAATTTCTAGGCGCAGCCGTGGTGTGGAGTGTGTCGAGTTTGGTGGCAGGAGAATCTCGTCTCTGCTTTTTGCGGATGATGTGGTCCTCCTAGCTTCATCCAACTCTGACCTTCAGCTCTTGTTGGGTAGGTTTGCGGGTGAGTGTGAAGCGGCTGGGATGAGGATCAGCACCTCCAAATCTGAGACCATGGTTCTCGACCGGAAAAGGGTGGCTTGCCAACTCCGGGTCGGGGGAGAGGTCCTACCTCAAGTGGAGGAGTTGAAGTATCTCGGGGTCTTGTTCATGAGTGAGGGTAGGAGGGATCGGGAGATCGACAGGCGGATTGGTTCGGCGTCTGCAGTGATGCGGACGCTGAGCCGATCTGTCGTGGTGAAGAAGGAGCTGAGCCAGAAAGCCAGGCTCTCGATTTACCGGTCGATCTACGTCCCAATCCTCACCTATGGTCATGAGCTTTGGGTAATGACCGAAAGAACGAGATCACGGATACAAGCGGCAGAAATCAGCTTCCTCCGTAGGGTGGCCGGGCTCAGCCTTAGAGAAAGGGCGAAGAGCTCGGACATTCGGGAGGGACTCGGAGTAGAACCGCTGCTCCTCCAGATCGAAAGGAGCCAGTTGAGTTGGTTTGGGCATCTGGTCAGGATGCCTCCTGGACGCCTCCCCGGGGAGGTGTTTCGGGCATGTCCTGCCGGCAGGAGGCCCCCGGGTCGACCCAGGACACGCTGGAGAGGTTACTTCTCCAATCTGGTCCGGGAATGCCTTGGGGTCCTGCCGGAGGAGCTGGTGGAGGTGGCCGGGGAGATGACGGTCTGGAGCTCCCTAGTTGGGATGCTGCCCCCGCAACCTGGACCCGGATAAGCGGAGGAAGACGACGACGACAACGACATTTATCAACAGAAACTTGGTTTATCACAAATAAATAGTAAGTTGGTGCTAACCACTGTATTAGCTGCCGTTGCTGGTACTGGGTTGGACCGCCTATTCCCTTCAGCATCACGTGACATCATCAGCTCCATCCATGATGAGAACGTCCAGTTCCATCACCTCCCAAAGGTTGTGGACTGGACTGAGTTCTGGTGATTGTGGAGGTTGTTGGAGTCCAGTGAACTCGTGGTCATGTTCCAGGAAACCAGTTAGAGTTGATCTGAGCTTTGTGACATGGTGCATCATCCTGCTGAAGGTAGATGATGGGTCCACTGTGGTCATACCAAGGTGAACATGGTCAGCAAGCCAGACGGCAGATACTCACTGGAGATGTTCTCTTTTTCAGTCCATTAAAGATACAGTCAAATTAGTCGTCACACACTGGTGAAATTCATCTCCGCATTTGACCCATCCCTGTGAGGAGCGGTGAGCTGCAGCTGTGGTTGCGCTCGGGAACTACAGTATTTGGTGGTTGAACCCCCCAATCCAACCCCTTGAAGCTGAGTGTCAAGCCGGGGAACATTTTTTAAGTCTTTGTATGACCTGACTAGGATTTGTTCCCCAATCTCCCAGTCCAGGACGGACACTACCACTAGGCTACTGAGAAGGTCTTTTTATCTGTAAATCCTAATCCCAGAATATAACTCAGACCAGCGCGTCTGGTACCAAAAACCATGCTATGTTAAAAATCTGAAAGATCTCCTTTCTTCTTCCTCATGAAGTTGAATTTAAACTTCATCAAGTCACGTTCACCACATCTAGACACCTGTTGCCATGTGATTGGCTGATAAGCTAATTTTGTAACTATTGAGTTTAATGAAGTGGTTGGATAACAGACTTTACCAGTGAGGGGGATTCATTTGCCTGGAGCTACGAGGTTAAAAGTTTTTTAAATAAAAGTTATACATAACAAATGTCCTCAGCAACTAATTTGACCTTTTCTTCCTCAGTCTTTTAGATCAAATTACAATTTTAAATATGAATTTCCCCAAAATGGCCTCACGTTTTCTTTATCTACTCCCCTGCAAACAGTCAACGTTGCATGGACATGCAGATTATGTCCATATTGAGTCTGTCGGTCCAGACCACGTCTGTAGGACGTCCACAGTAGGTCTTTGCACAGTGGGTTTTATCGCTTCTGGTTTGAATGAGGTCCTTCCTCTGAATGGTCTGCACCAAACTGGTGCCATAGTGGTTCTGCTGTTCTGAACTTATGTGCTCCATTTATCACAGCACGTCTTACAGATCTGGGGTCTCATTTATCAAACATTGCGTAGAATCCTTACTAAAACGTACATAAGCTCAGCAAAAAAATGTACTTACGCCAAGTAGGTTTGTGATCTATCAAACATGGAGCACGCACAGCTGCACACAATCTCCGCTTCATAAATCAGAGACTAACGAGGAAGGTTCTCAGCTGCTTTTTTGTAACTTCCCGCCCTCACCACGCCCACTTACTGCCATAAATACTCAATGCAAAGTGCCTTGTGGATCTCAAGCATATACATAAGCCGGCTTGTTGCAGCATTTGATCACGACCGCAGATCAAGGTAGCGCTATTCCACAAGCAGAAATTGAGGTACTTGTGGGTGAGGTGGAGAAATGAAAGGTAGTGCTTTTGCAAAATAAATAAGAGAAAATCCACAGAGTGGCACAGCGTTGCTGAAGCCATCAATGCTGAATTCTTCAGAGAGATCTGTGGCGGATATAAAAAAAAACAGTCTAATCAGGATTCAATCCCCAGACTCCCAGGTGAAAGTCACACACTCTAAACAGTCACCCAAACGGAGACCTCCCTTCTCCAAGTAGCCAGGGGGCATGATTAACAGGGTCACAGTAACAGGACACACACTGTCACAGACCCATGACATTCTGTCTCAGTCTATCCCCCTGCTGATATTCTGCATTTCGTATTCTGTGCTTCAGGCTGTGTGTGTGTGTGTGTGTGTGTGCGTGTGGGGGGTCTTGTTCTGTGTGAAAACGAAGCAGTACAAGTGATAATGCTGCAGGATTTCATAATTTTATCCTCAGCAGCAGCACTGAAGGTGCTCTCCATGTCCAACATGTGCGTAAGCCAGGTCCTTAGTCAACTTAAAGTTGTGCTCATTTTTCCGCTAAGTTTTCTTTCATAAATCCCAAAGTTTGGACAGTTTGGAAAAGTTGCTTACGCAGTTTTCCGACCCTGTTTTGTGCGTAAGCAAGCTTGATAAATGAGGCATGAGCTTAAAAAAAGCAGGTAATGCTCCACAGCACTTTAAAGACTCGTTGCAAGTTAGGAGATGGGCTTGATTGCTGCTAAGGGTGGCAATGACTTAGTCACACAGGGTCATGCAGGTTTGTATTTGCTTCTCGCCAGATAATAAAAACTTAACTAAGAAAGTACATTGTGTTTTCTTGTGTATTTGTTTTTTGTTTTTACTTTTTAAGTTTGATCATCTGAGACATTTCAGTGTAAAAAACATGCAAAAAAATTAAGAAGCAGGAAGGCGGCCAATTCTTTTCCACTAATCACCACGTTCTCAAAGCTCTGTTTGTCAATGTATGGCTTTTTATAAATAGCAAACGCAACAATGGAGGAAATGAAATACCACCACCACCAATCGGCTCAGCACACTTTTCCTGATTTAACTGCATGTTTCTAAATTATTTATTTATTTATTTGTTTGTTCTTTCTTTTTGTCAAAATTGTGGGTGTGAAGATTAAAACAGCGGAAAACAAATCAAAGTGGAAGTGATGATATTAAGTTAGAAATGTCACGAAAAAAATCTGTTTTATTTACCCCAAAATTCACAATGGAAAAATATTTCCCTGTCTTTTTCCAGAAGACTATGAACCTCTACTTCCAGAAAAGTGAGAAAGTAACAGATTCAACCCCCAGAGTTCCTACACCTGAGTGTATTTTTTCCTGTTTTTATTGTTTTCTGACTGAGTTTTCACTCAGTAAACTCCGTTAAATAGTCATAAAAATAAAGATATATTTGCATTTGTTTATTTGCGCTTGTTCTACAGCAGCATCCAAGAACTTCCTTCAGTCTTTCACAATAAAAGTCTCAAATTTACAGGTGTATTTCAAAACAACCGAATCACATAAAAGCAGCTTGAGTTAGAAAAATATATATTTTCCGGAAAAAAAATATGTATATATATATATATATATATATATATATATATATATATATATATAATTACTATTATTATTATTATTATTATTATTATTATTATTATTATTATTATTATTATTATTTTAACTTTAATCCTGACGTGTTTTATTCCTTGTGTTTAAAGTGTTATTTTAAAGGACATATTAGTAATAAGTGTAAATTTTCAGGGTAATTTTACATCGAGAAAAATCTTTAATAGGAACAGAAACCTTCTTCCCCTGAGCTCGTGCTCACCTGTTCACCTGTACACGCCCTGACAACAACCACCATCACGAGGAGGGACGCTTGTCCCCAGGATGACGTCATTTCCTCCCTCCTCCCCTTCCTATAAAGACCCCCCGTCGCTGTGAAGTCTCGGCAGAGACCGGAGCGGGAGGCAGCTAGGTTCACCGATGCAGCAGAAAATTTAGCTCTCCAGAAATACCGAAAGGCGACCAAGTTCTGTTCACGATGCGAATGTGAAGCTCCGACTCTTCTGGATTAAACCAGTTTTTATTTATTTTTTTATTTTCCTGACAAAAAGAAAAGAAAAAAAGCTTCGCTGTTTTGTTTTGTTCCTGGAGAGCTTAATTGACCTCATGATGATCGGTAGAGGACTCTTCCTTCTGACGGTTTTATCCAACTGCGGTAAGAAAAAAAAACCTGCTGGAAGTTAAAAATCTGCGTCGAGAGCTTCAGCACCAAGGACAGCGACAGTTTCATCTGTTCTCAGCTCATTCAGCTGCAACTGACTGTCTCTACTGAAATATCAGGGATAGATAAAACAATAATGATTCAATCTAAAAGAAAACAATTAATGCCTCTTGTTTTCTCACTCGCAGTTCTGTCATTGCCACTGACTTCAAGCCAGCTGGAGAATGACGACGTTCAGGTAAGATCACACAATTCCTTTAATCATTGCATGATTATTGTAAAAGCATTGCTGCATGTTCATCACTATTCAAAGACTCATGGTGTGACAAAAATAGCTTTTATCTGATTTAAAAGGAAATGTGTTATTCTAAATATCTAATTTTTGCTATTTGACTCTTAAGCACGTTATCAGTCAGCTTTAGCTTCTTTAAAATCATTAGATCCTAATTGGAGACCAAAGAAAAAGCCTTGACCATCAGGATTCACATCAATTTCACATTGAATGTGCTTAGAATGCATCAAAGACAAGCTGATCTCTGAAAAGTTTTGATTTTAAATGTGAGTAGTTTAACATCATTAAAGACTGAATCCAACGTTTTGCGTCAAAATTAGAAGAGTAATCCTTGCAAATTTTTAAAATACTAATTTATTCACACACACACACACACACACACACACACACACACACACACACACACACACACACACACACACACACACACACACAATTTTACAGTGCAGTAAAAAAAACTATTTCCTTACATTTTTTCTTTCTTACATTATTATCATTATTTATTTTTAAATATATTTCAAACCTTATTGCCCTAAATGACTGAAAAAACCATAAAACGCCACATTTCCATAGCTTTTCAACCTGCTGTGGGAGTTTAATTACTCAAGTGTGTTTATTGTGATGTCGAAAGTTCCAGAGTTCTGCTCTGAATCGTTGACAGGTGATGAAATGCATCGTGGAGGCACTGGCAGATGTTCTGTCGAGGCCACGCCTCATACCCATCAGTCAAGAGTGCTTGGTTACCTTGAAAACAGGTAAACACGGAGAACACATGAAGGTTTGTTTATGAAATTAAAATATTTTGCAGAAATGTAAACATCTGCAAAGCACAACACCGGGGAGTCAGATTGGCAGGCGCAATCTCAGAGTAGGTGAAGGAGTAAAAATGTGCAGGACATGACAGAAATATGGGGGGAGGGGGGGATTATGGCGTCACTTAAATGCAAGAAGTTTAACCTTGCAAATGATGCAGTTCCTTTCCAAGAGCCAAATGTGTTGTTGGATGAAGGGTTAGGGTTAGTTAGAGGAAGCTTTAGTTGCTAGACACGTCAGATTTAAATGATGCTGTAAAACATTAACGATGCTGCGCTGGTTTAATAACATTTGTGTCTACACAGCTTGTTTAGTGTCATGCATGATTCAGAAGACTTTTAAAAAGATTTAGAAATGTGAATTCATTGTGTGATGAATGTTTTTATTACGCATCAGTGACCCAAACCTCATTAACCCTCTGGAGGCAGGCATTGCAGATTTGCAAAGTCAAAACCGACTGGTTACTCATGAGCATTTTTTTTTACTCAGATGTACCCCTGAAGGACTTAGTTGTTCGTCCTTTTATCAAAACTTATTGTTAGCCTGAGAGGGTTAAAATTCACCAAACGCATCATTCACACTAATGTTTATTTATATTATTTGAACGGCGCTCTGCCTGTATTTGATCAAACAATCCAATAGTACTGTTAAAATTATTTATTTAAACTAAATTATAAAAATGTTCTATTTCATTTTATATCATTGATAGATATTAATTTAATCTGATGATTAAAGCTGCTATAATCACTCCCATCTCCTCCATTGTCAGGTGGTTGCCTTTTATTGTTTTATTTGTTTATTTACATTTCTAGTTTATTTGTAAACTTGTGCAGTGAAGATTGTGGTTGCATTTAAATTCAAGAGAAAAATTTAGAAATATTTCATGCACACTGCAGTTGTGTACAAAATCTTCCTCTGGTGTATGATTCAGTCGAATCTGTAATATAATTATTTATGCAGTAGGTGCATATGTGGCTTTATTTGGACCACATGCATCTTTGTTATGTTTCATCTCTATAGTCACTGCCAGAGCTCCAACCAAATCCCAAATTGACTCTGCATTTCCAATCTGCTGCTTCATCATCGTTGCTGGACGCCCTCATCGTAAGGTTAATGGATTGGTGCGTAAAAATCTGCAGCAGCGTCTCCAGGTTCAGCTACATGGCGGTCGTTTTGCCTTGATGCTGTCCTTGCTGTTAAAAAAATCAATGGGAGCCGCAATCTCTGAGTTCAGAGCAGTCGCCGTGAGAGGGAAACTGTACAGCACTAGATGGATGGATAGAGGAGAGGAGAAGAATCAGAGTTACACAAGAGCATGGCTCTGTGCGGCGGTTGTCTCTACCTACTGCTGTTTGTGGGTCAGCGGAAAACGCTGCTGTAATTCCCCGGGTGTGGTGGGGGGTTTTCTATGAGACAAATGATTAATTGTATCCCTGCTTTGAAAGCATTAAATTCACGGACAATTAACTCAGATTAATTTACAAAAGCGAATTGCTGAGTCCTTTGAAAAAAGGAAAGACACACCTGTGTTTTACCTCCAGTAGAGTTAAAATGTCTTTGTTCCTTTTCAAAAATGAATGTATCACTCAAGCTTGAAAAGGGGGTGTTAGGGTGATAATGTGCTTATTTGTCTGAATTTAACCAAACTGTCCCGGGAAAAACTGAAGAAGTTTTCATGAAACCTTTAAAAATTCTTCAATGGATGTAGACATGTCAACTGGTTCCACTAAAACAAACTGTTTAAAGAAATGCCTAAAAAGTATCCCCCTTCTCCCTCCTACTGGCTGAAAAGGGAATTACAACTATTGTAAACAACTCTGCTGCAGCACGCTGTAGCTAGCACTAACAACAAGCTAATGCTAACACGGAAAAGCCATGAAGTACAAAGATCCACACTGTTGGAAAAAAAAATTATTATGGTTGATATTCACTCTAGTTTTAACTCTGCGTCACCTCCAAAGACACTACTTTCTTACTTTTGCTTCCAGGCTCCGCCACAAGAAAAGCCAATTTCTTCTTCTTTTGCTTTTTATTGACAAACAGACAAAGCTAACTGCTAGCCTTCATATTAGCTGTCTGAATTACGGTTCTTTTTTTTAACATAGCAGAAGTGTTATTTTTACCTTGTTTTTGCTGATGCCAACATCACTTAGGGTTAGGGATAGAGTTTTGCCGCTGTTGGTGGCGTCACTTCCTTCTCCGTTTATCAGCAGGCAGCGGAGGACGATAAACGAAGAAGGAAGTGACGCCACCAACAGTGGCAAAGCTCTGAGAAAGGTGTGGTTCTTTTCCTTATCGCAACACAAGAGAATGAGACAACGTTGTCCTTACAGCGTGGGGCTTTTTATTTGCACAGTTCAGCAATACATCACCAGTTACTACAGCGTTCAGCCAGAACGCAACGGGCCTCCGGCTGGATCTCAGAAAAATTCTGCTTACACCGAAAATGCGACCCCAGTTACACTTTTTACTGACGTCACTCCTGCATAGCTTATGAAATGGGTCTCACATACACATGAATTGGAAACTGTTTGGGGAGTCTTTCCCAGCAACCCATGCAACAAGACAGGAACCATCTGCTGCTCTTGACTTCCCGATAAACATTCAGATAAATGTTAGTCTCACTGGAAATTATGCAAACTGGACTGAAAACAGGACATCAAACATCACGTACATAAGCACAGCTTTTGGCTCCTGCAAAGGCTGCAGTGATAGCCTGGTTCAGACCTTTCTACTGGTGCCGAGCCACACCACAAAGCTGTTAAACAGCTCAACAGGTTGAGCGGGTTGTCCAGTAATCGGAAGGTTGCAGGTTCGATCCCGGCTCTGGACAGAGAATTCTGCTGTTGTGTCCTTGGGCAAGACACTTAACCCATCTTGCCTGCTGGTGGTGGTCGGAGGGACCGGTGGCGCCAGTGCTTGGCAGCCTCGCCTCTGTCAGTGCGCCCCAGGGCAGCTGTGGCTTACATCGTAGCTCATCCCCATCAGTGTGTGAATGTGTGCGTGAATGGATGAATGATACACTGTAGTGTAAAGCGCTTTGGAGTCCTTCCTCTGAGAGGCGCTATACAAGTGCGGGTCATTTATCATTTATCATTTAAATGCAGTTTCTGGTCAGCAGAGGGCAGCAGAGCGCTGTCCATTGAGAGGTTTCTGGTTCAAGAACCACTGAAACCAGTTTGAAAGCAATAGCTTAAAGTGTTCAAAACTATAAAGTGTCACTTTAAATCTACAGAGCACATTGTTGTGTGTTGTTATATTAAAAGTAGTCTGCTAGGTTTAGTGGAACCACCTGACGTAACCCGATTCAGTAAAATCAACATTTTGATTCTAGAGAGTGTGGTCAACCCAATTCATTATGGATGATGTGTTCATTTCTTAATATGCTAAAAAAAATAAAAAATAAAAACACTGAACGACATTTTGAGGGGTGAGTCTGAGAGATAAAACAGATCTGGGAAATAAGGCTTTTGGGTTTTCAGCAGCTGTACATGATCTGCATCCGTAAAATGTTGTAGCCTTGAATAAGTTTTAATCTCTCACTGCCTGAGTGTAAATCTTTCTAGAAATTTTTTTTACTGAAGGAGTTTTTCATGTAATTTATTACCCTGTTTTGGTATCTTTGCAACAGAACTGGCCGGGTTTCTCCTGTAAACCTGTCAAGTGCGCTAAAATAAAAGAAATGAACAAATATTTACTGACTCTGCGAGGAATTCTCACAGTTTCATGTCTTTCCTGCACAACTTTCCAGCACACACATCTAATTGTGGTTTTGTGTTTGTGCAGATGGCAGACTCCTCACCATCCTCCGTCATCATAACTTTCTGAAGGAGCTGCAGGAGATCGCTGTCGGAGGTGAGTCACCGGTTACTCAGAGCTAATCGTTCCGTGTGTGCTGAAGGTGCATGCTCGAGCACGCACGTCGAAACATTATGTTATTTTCTGTTGAAGGTGGTCAGGAGAGGGCTCTGCTGCAGAGACTTGCTGACGATCCGACCCCCACAACAAAAGCACTTCACACCACGGATGACAATGCCGGTGATTATCTGTGATTCATGCAACTTTGCAAATGAGATCTACACGTGCACTGCTTTCCAGTTTTGGAGCGAGGCAGCGCTGATGAGGTGCAAAAGTGCTGAGCTAAATTTAAAGGCTGCTGATGTGTTTTGTGGACAGAATGAGGACTTGCATGAGGTCCTCCCACACTTCGGTGCACCTGGTTTTTGTTAGTCACAGCAAGACTTTCTGTAAAAGCACAAAATGGGAAGCAGGCAATGCATCAAAATTTAAGTGACAGCCCAAGAAGCATGGGTTATGGCATGACTTATATGCTAAAACACTCATCAATCTGACTGCTATAATGCGATGGAATAATTATCTTTTTTATATGGAACGTGATTGGAAAAATCAATTTGATGTGAGTAAAATTCCAGCGTCTCTGTTTTCAGATCGATCCATGTTGGACGCCTTGGGAGACCCTGGCGAAAGATCCGTCCCGTCCCAGAGGAAGAGGGCAAGAGATGGAAGAGCGGGGAAGGACGAGAGCAGGGAAGATGACACTTCAAAGGAGGACAGTGAAACCGAAGAGGTGGAAGTGGAGAGGGGAAACGATGAGGCTGAAAAGGAGGAGGAAGAAGGATTCGATAGCATGCAGGCAAACTCCGAGGAGAAATCAGAGGAGGAAAAAGAGGCGACGGATCAGAGAGGCAAGCTAATTATTCTCTTTGATTTGTATCTGTTAGATATTCAAATGACAAAAAGGAGGATGACAGAAAACATGCACTCTCAGTTTCAGAGTTTGACATTTTAAGCACTTGCTCATGTTGGATTTATCTTTTCTGTAGAAATAAAAGATCCTATCCCAACCTATAACCTAATCCTAGACAGGAGGAGTGCATAAAAGCTGCGCCTGCCATCGGGGATCCAGGTGACTGATGGAAGTACTTCCATCTACATGATGAATTTCATTCACTTCACAGGGAGGCCGAAGCCAATATGGCTGGCACTCTGACAGCATCCGGACAGAACTGATTAAGTATTCTCATATCCTGAAATTCAAATGAGTCGAGGCGCATGCGACTGCTGCAAATCCTTCTTGCATCAAGATTGTTTTTAAGAGGTAGCTTCCATCTCCAGAGCTTTCCCTGCACGACTTTCAACAACAAGAAACCTCAGCCTTCTGATTATTATTTTACTTATGCTGTTAATTCAAATAAAGTGCTGCGAGCACTGCTGTGGAAAGTGCTGCCAGCTGGCACCCAAGAGTTCATTACAAGAAGTGAAGTCTTGCTGATGTTCACTTTATTTTTCTCCAGGAGACGGGTCTGATGAGACGAGAGCTCCCTCCAGAAACAAGTCAACAGAAAGGATGTACAAGGTGGCAGATGGAGGGGAAAGTAACAGATCTGTGCTGCTGTCACAAAAACACAACAGCAAAGAGGAGGAGCATGGGAGGAAAAGAGGAGGCCAGGAGGACCGAAGGCTGAAGAAGAGAGTGATAAGGAAGGAGGAGCAAGAGGAGAAAATGCCTCATCATTCAAAAGTAGTCAAAGAGGCAGAGGAGAAGAAGAAGAGAGATGCTGAGAGGAGTCCAGAGGAAAAGGAGCTGCAGATGATTGCTCAAAGGTCACCGGAGGAAAAGACAGAGATGGAAGAAGAAGGAAGCGGCAGTAGAAAGTCAGAGGTGGGCTTTTTACACTCTAAAAACTGTCCCGTTGAGAGAAGTAGCTAAAAAGTGTATTTATGGAATCTCATCGTTAATGTATACAGCCCTCTCACCATTTTATGTAAGGATTTGACCCTGTTAGCAGACACTCGGTATTCACGTCATCACTGCAATGCAGCAAATTCAGCCATTATTCAAGTTAGTTCAACTTTTTCAAATTTCTTAACTGATTCTCCACCAAAAACCTACATTAATTTCACAACTTTACAAAGCATTTATTTGTTTTTAAACTCTAGGCCCAAACTACACTTGAAAAAAATAAAATGTTGACTTAACTTAACCAAACGATGTCAACTGGTTCCACTAAACCTAACTGCTTGAAGTAACCGGGACACGTCTCAGAAACGTAGTAATGTGCTGCTCTACTAAGTGTATGCTTTAAGTTTATTTTTATGTGCTATGTTTCCAGAACGCATCAAACTCAGCCGCTGAGTTTGAGCCAGACCGGAAGTCAAATGCAAAAGCAGCGTAAAACCTCGAAATCTTTCTAAATAAAAGTCACCAGTAGATTTCTAGTTGCTTAACTAGTAAAAATAAAAGTATGTCATAACTCCTCCATAACAGAGGGAAACAGAAAATCAGTAAATCAGTCAATCAAACTTATTTGTGTAGCACTTAATCATACAATGCATGCAACTTAAAGTTCTTAACAAATTAAAAAGGCCCCACATACCCACATTCCCTCCCATCCCCAGAATTTTAAAAAGAAAAGGAAATAAGCCACCAATCTTTTAGGATGCATGCTGCCATCTTTCCCCTGGTTTGTTAATGCATGAACTGCTGAAATCTCACAAGCAGGGGTGGCGCTAGGCCCGGCTACTTGGGCTCAAGCCCAGAATGTTTTATGAAAAGCCCCAGATCTAAATCGTGGAAGTAACATGCAGTACCAAAGTCCAACAGAGAGGGAGCAGCTGGCAGTAGTTTGTATACAGCCTGCCTGAACCTCCACCACTGAACAAAAAGCCCTTCAGCAGCCGGCTTCTTCTACACTCTCTGCCTGAAACGCATGAGTGAAGATGCACGTAAGGGCATTTTTTTAGACAAAAGGTACCGCGACAGAACCTCAGCTTTGATGAGACTGGTGTTGACTCAGGTTTGTGAGTCTTATTTGAAAATATTTGTGATTTGTAATATATGATGTTGACTAGTGCGTGTCACGTGTGTGTGTGTGTGTGTGTGTGTGCGCGCGCGCGCATGTGTTAAGCCCCGGATCTTCTTCAGTCCTAAATCCGCCCCTGCTCACAAGGTCGTGCAATTGTCTCGTCTTATGACTTCGTGAGACCAGGATCGCTTTCGCTGCCGTTTCATTTCTGAAACGCTTTCGGTATGAAAGACGCTCGTGGGGCAAACGTGTTTCTTATGTTACCCGCCTCTTACGTATCAAGTGGAAAGGCTGGGTAACACATTTAGTTTTGACATTACAACAACATATAACAGTGCATAATACTCTTTACATTCAGGCATCTAGGTTTAGTGGAACCTGTTGACATGACTTGGTTAAGTAAATTCAACATTTAATTTTTTAGAGTGTATCTATGACTTTTCACTGATGACATATGATAACTTACCTGTATTTGTATAGCGCCTTCTTAGGGTTCTACAGCCCCCCCAAGGCACTTCACAACACAATCAGTCCATTCACACACACACATTCACACTCTGATGATGAGCTATGATGTAGCTACAGCTGCCCTGGGGCGCACTGACAGAGGCGAGGCTTGCTGAACACAGGCGCCAGCGATCCCTCCAACCACCACCAGCAGGCAAGGTGGGTTAAGTGTCTTGCCCAAGGACACAACAGCAACATTCTCTGGTCAGAGCCAGGATCAAACCTGCAACCTTCCAATTACTGGGCAATAGAGCTCCGGGAGTTGACGTCACTTCTCCCAGCATGCAACAGTTCAAATCGAAACGGCGCCATATTGGCAGGCAGAAGCCTGCAGCTGGACTATTTGTTATTGTCAGAAAACTCAATCAAACGGGAAATATGGTAGATTCCTGTTGTGCCCCAGGCTGCAGAACAGACGCGGACGAGATAAGAAATGAGCCATCTACAGGATTCCCCAAGATCCACTCCAGCACAGCACTCTATTTAAACTACTTACATGTAAATCTGTTATTTGTCCATTCATCCATCCATTTTCATCTGCTTATCCGGAGTCGGGTTGCAGGGGCAGTAGCCTAAGTCGAGAGGCCCAGACTTCCCTCTCCCCAGCCACTTGGGCCAGCTCCTCAGGGGGAGTCCCAAGGCGTTCCCTGGCCAGGTCCGGTAAGAAGTCCGCTCCGACAGCTTCTGGCATTTTTAAAAAGTATCCCAGCGGCACAGTAAGGGTCAGAAATGTTTAGTCTATTTAATTTCTGACTATATAAAACGATTTCTTTAGTTTTAAAGTGTGAAGTAAACTCAGACGAAGTAAAATCCAAGCCGATCCCGTTCATTTTGTTTACCTTTGTTGCCTGCCAACATGGCGTCTACTCTCTGAGAGTCGTGTGACGTCCGGAGCTCTATTGTGTTCCTGCTGCTGTCCCATACTGCTTCTAGGCAAATTCAGATAATGCAATTTGAATTATTTACTGCCCCGTTGGGTCCAAATGGTAACACCAGTTTCCCTTTAGTTAAAAATGTGATGTATTTACTGGTTATTATTTATGTCATTATTCCTGTAGGAGCCTGAGATTGAAAGCCTGGCAGCCATCGAGTCAGAACTTGAAAACGTTGCCAAGAAGCTCCACGGGCTGCGACGAGGCTGAAAGAGAGATCAATAGAAGTTTTGACGCTGCAACCTGTCTTCTTGTCCTTCTCTGCTTCTCTCTCTCTCTCTCTCTCTCTCTCTCTCTCTCTCTCTCTCTCTCTCTAGGATGCCACACCACTGCAGACATTGTTCGTTTTCTTACACAGAGTAGCATCCTGCAGATAGAAGCTTAGACGTGGATACTAACATCAGGCAAGTGCACAAGTTCTGTGCAGAGCATACAGATTTCTAAAAAAAAGAGTCCCGTTATAGTCTTATGTTCATTTCATCTTTATGCACATTTATCTTTATTACTTTAACAATTAACATTGGTTTAAATGAAAGGATTGGGCTAATCCAGGTCGACAAACACTGTTGGGGTAGTGGTGTACAGTCACAGCTTGTATAAAGCTCCTTCCAGGATGCTCTTTTAGTTTCAAAGACAAAGAAAATAAAAAAAGATGCTACTGCGATCCCAGTTGACTCTAATCAAGCCAAGGCAATAAGTTTAGATTTCTAGCAGGTAAATGAGTTATAATGTCAAATTGTGATGAATTTATGTACAAATATAAAATAAACAAATTGATTCGGAAGACCTCTGTTTTGGTAAATCCTTGCAATGCCTCTAAAATTAGAACACTCAACATACCAGCAGGATGTGCAAATGTCAGCAATTCTACGCACGTTAAACTCATACATGTCAGATTACATGTCAGATTAATACACGTTTCTAACTGGAACAACACATTAGTGAGTGAAGATAAGGTTTGCCGTTGTTTGTTTGTGGGCGAGGAAGCCGGCAGCATGAATAATCGGGATGACACATCGGCTGATAACAATCTAACCAGCTACAAGGTGCAGTTCACCTATTAAATTTGGCAGTAAAAAAAATCCCCTGCTGGTAAGTAATGAGAGGAAAGATACTGGATAGTTTCTAATGGAAAAGCATAACGTTAGTGTTTCTGTTTGCATTTGCACATTTGTGTTTTACCACTCATGTATTGATAAGAGAGAAAACAATGCAATAGTTTTACTCCACTGGGCAGTTTGAGGAAGCAAAGTGACTTTAAATGAAGCTGGAAACTGGTAAAAATAAAAAAAGCTTCACCACTAGGGGGCAATAAATACCATCAAGTGCACCTTTAAATAAATGAAAGGCTTCAAAATAAAAGCAGTAAGTTAAATTAGATAAATATGAAATTCATCCTAAGAAGATGATTATACTAAAATTATACTAATATTAAGATTATACTAATATGAAAATTATGGTAATACTACTATTACTAAATTATTATTATCATTATTATTATTACTATTACTATTATTATTTTATTTATTATTATTATTATTATTATTGTTGTTGTTGCTGTTATAATTATTATTGCTATTATTATTGCTATTATTATTATTATTATTATTGCTATTATTATTATTATTGTTATTATTATTATATTATTGTTGTTATTATTATTAGTAATAGTAGTAGTATTATTAACAACAACAACAATAATAATAATGGTGCTTCTTGTTGCACGTTAATTCTAAACTGTAAATTCTGAACAACATTCTGTTAAGTGGTAAATTAGTCTGAAATCAGTTCAAATACCGAAGATGTTTCTCAAAAACCTACTATGAATTAGTCGCTTTGTATTAGTTTGAGTATTTTGTTCTGCATTTGATAATAAATAATGTTTAAAGAACAATGAGACAGAGAGGACACCAGAGGGCGACAACTGACTGTTTTAGTTCTCCCTCTAAAGCTGAGTGTTTTTGAAGCGGGCACGCGAGGACATCATCCTATAAGAACGTTTTCTTCTGTGCAAACAAGCCTCACTTCTTCCACGAGAGTTTCCAAACTGCACAGAAACAAAACATTTACAGCAATGACACAATGTTCTTGGCGAGGAGCCACCAGCTGTGTGGGCTTGATCTATAGCTGTTTGTTTCTGTAAAATCTCCTGATTTCACAGGGGGTTGTGCTGCTAAAGTCTCAAGAACAAACCACCAAATTAAAAGCACCTTTAAAAAAAGGGCTGTTTGACTGAGTGTTACTCCTGTGCAACGATCCCATCAGAGACACACGATGAAATTAAAAAGCCCTACAAGTTTCTGAAAATGGTTGAAAAAATCTATTACAAATCATATTCAAATGCCTCTAAGTAATAGAAACAGGTCTAAGTTGAGGGGAATAAAAGAAAAGTGGCTACAGCAGAATACATTTTACAGAGATGCAGCAGAAACCAGATGGCACAGAAGCTGAAAGTAATTCACAAATCATATCCTGAGTGCTAATAAGTCATGCAGCATCATCAGGTGAGATGATGCATAATGCCATCTATCCATTATTGTCCACTTATCTGGAGTCAGGTCGCTGGAGCAGTGGCCTAAGCAAGGAGGTCCAGACGTCCCTCTCCCCAACCACTGGGGCCAGCTCCTCCGAGGGAATCCTAAAGTGTTCCCTGGCCAGCCGTGAGACGTAAACCCTCCGGGTTGGACGTGACCAGAAAACCTCAGCAAGGAAGCATCCTAACTCGGTGCCTGAGCCACCTCAACTGGCTCCTCTCGATGTGGAGGAGCAGCGAATCTACTCCGAGCCCTTCCCAGATGGCTGCGCTTCTCACCTTATCTCTAGGGGAGAGCCCAGACACCCTGAGGAAAAAAACTCCTTTCGGCCGCATGTATCTGCGATCTCGTTCGTTCGGTCACTACCCAAAGCTTGTGACCACAGGTGAGGGTAGGAATGTAGATCGACCAGTAAATTGAGAGCTTCGCTTTTCAGCTCAGCTCTCTCTCTTCACCACGACAGACCGGTACAACGCCTGCATCACTGCAGACGCAGCACCAATGCTTCCGCTTTCCATCACTCATGAACAAGACCCAGAGATACTTGACCCTCTCAGGCTCAGAATGAGTTTTGATAAAAGGACGAGCAACTAAGTCCTTCAGGGGTACTTCTGAGTTAAAAAATGCTCATGAAATATGTATGTGGAATAACCAGGTAGGTAGGTTTTAACTGTTGCAAATCTGCAACGCCTGCCTCCAGAGGGTTAAACTCCTCCACTTGAGGCAGGACCTCATCCCGGACTTGGAGAAGGCATTCTACCCTTTCCTGACTCAAGGCCATGGTCTTGAGTCGGATTTAGAGGAGCTGATTCTCATCCCAGCTGCTTCACACTCGGCTGCGAACCGCTCCAGTGAGAGCCAGAGATCACGTTCTGATGAAGCAAACAGGACCACATCATCTGCAAAAAGCAGAGACTCAACCCTTACGCCACCAAAACAGATCCCCCTCAACACCTTGACCTCAGACACCGGTCATATGTATATATACATACTGATGATGCATAATGTTGTTTTTAAAATATTGGCCTCATCATTCAGTTTGATGTGCATTATTTCACACTGCTGAGTCTTTTATTATTAGTTCTATATTATATCCGAGAACCAAACTAAATGTTCAATATGAAGAAATTATGAGTATAATAAATGTGCTTTTATTTATTATTCTCACTACAACTGTTCAGCCTTTAAGGGTTAGGGTTAATCTTTGATGCTTTCATGAGTTTTTCTTAGGGATGCAACGATACCACTTTTTTCCAAACCGATACGATACCGATACTTGGATCTGAGTACTCGCCGATACCGATTACCAATACCGATACTTCTACCACACAAAAAAGGCAATGATTTGGAATACAGATTTTATTTTCTTCTCTGCTTTCAACAGGAAGGACTCAGATTCAGAAAAGACTGTGAGGTAGATAAAAAGTAAAATATATGAATAGAAATCATCACAAAACTAAAATATTAGGTGAACAGAAATGACAAGTTACAGTGAAGCCATTTTCAAGCAACTGCATTGGTGTCGGTTAACTTTTACCGATACCGATACTGGTATTGGTATCGTATTGGTGCCGATACCGGCACATCCCTAGTTTGTCTTGGTAGAAAATGGATTAAAACACAGTTTTGATGAGGAAAATCAGGACATCACAACCAGAAAACTCATTTGTATAAAAAAATAGGATTTTATTTCCAGCTACACAGTGAAACATGTAACATTTTCGTCACACTTCTCAACAAAACAGTACAAAATAAAGTTGAAATAAAAACAATATTAATAGATTTTGAAGCACAGAACAATTTCAGCTTTTTAAATTAACTTAAACTGTACAAATATATACAGTATTTACATATGAACAATCAAAAAAGGAATGAAAGTACAATTCTTCCAGTCTGTTCTTCAGGTTTTTGTACAAATTAGCATCTTATTTTTTAAAGATGTTTGGTTTCTTTCTTCTGACCTGAACCTGTAATGAGTTTTATTTCCTTCTGTCCTCAGTGCCTTTGCAGCTGGGTTTCACATCAAACCCCAAACTCAGCTGGGTTCTTGTCCACATGTTGGGCTGAAGCTCTGACCTTTGCTCTAGTCTGTACACACCCGCACACACACCTGGACAAGGCTCACACACGTTCAAACACACAGGACCCATTCAGAGCTGTTTACTAGCTTGCGCTGGTCTTGGACTCGGGTTTGGGGGGGGGGGGGGCTAATTAGACATCTCATCTAAAGAGGAGGTCAGCGTTAAAATATAACAGAAAACTGGGCGAATTTAAAAAAAATAAAGAATTTCAGGACGGAAACCAGACAGTAGGCTTGTCATAAAAATAAAATAAAAAGTTATAGTGCAGAAATCTTTTGGAGTTGCTAGGCAACCCTCTGTCTGAGCCATACATCACTCACAGACACAAAGACAAGTGTCTGGGCTTCGTTTACAATGAGGAAATGACAAAATATATATATTTTTATAAAAATTATATACTGAGCTGCAAGTTGAGATGGAGTTCTGTTTGTTGTTTTTTTCTTTCAAGTCACAAGGTTTGGTCGTCGATCTTTAGCTCACGCCATGTCGCCGTACATCTTCTTGTAATACATCGATTCGAAGATGTCGTTCTCCCCGGGGCAGTTATAGTGGCAGGCGCAGGACTTGATGAACATCATGTGCTTCTTCATGACCTCCCCGTTGGGGCATTTGAACTCCATGGGCAGGGTGGTGGTTCTGTGTGGGGTGCAGCAGCGGCCGTCCAGGCAGACGCCGCAGAACTTTGGCCTGTAGGACTTGGTTGTGGTGCAGCCGGAGATCTCGAACTTCATGGGCTTGGAGACTCTGGGTGTGCGGATGCACTTCTTTCCTTTCTGCAAAAATAAAAGCAAAAACAACATTCAGCAAATGTTCTTATGTCACACTGCGGGTTGTGAGCGGATGAACAGAAACTCACCCTGATGCTTTGTTCCAGCTGTGACTCACATGGTCGCACCATACACAGCCGGGTCTGTTTTTCTAGGCGGCATTCACGGTTATCGTTGGTGACTCTCGTGGAAATCCCAAGGCCACATGTTCTGGAGCAGGCACTCCATTCAGTAGTCTGCACCAGGCAGTTCTCCCTCCTCATGTTGGGATCTGGACCATAAGTCTCCTCCTCTCTGTAGGCTATAAACACAGAAAGCAACCTCAAATTAGTGAAACAATCCTTCATTCTTTTTGAGGGTTTTTGTTCTTGTAAGAGACACTCACCAGCCAGAACAGAGCCCATGCTGGTTGTAAAGGAAGAGTCACACTCCCACTCCTCGCAGCACTTCCCTGGCACTTTGACGCGCCTTGGCATTGGGCAGTCCGGACTGGGCAGGCGGATGTCCATGGAGCAGAGTGGGACACAGCCCATGGCTCCATCCAGACAGGTACATTGGTACTTGCAGCTGCTCTGGAATGACTCCCCACTTTTGTACACCATGCCTCCAAACACACAAGTGGCTCCCTCTCGAGCTGTGGGGCACAAACGGCAAAGCAGAGGTCAAGATTCGGATCTTGCATTGAGGATTTCAGTGGTGTTGTACAGGAATCAGTGAGCAGCTCACCTGTGCACACTCCAATACGTCTGTTGATTGGGGCTCCAAAGTCACAGTAAAGGTCTTTGTGTGGGTCGCAGACGTCTCTCTCGGTGCAGAGCTCCCCCATTTGTTTGGCGCACACCCTGCAGCAGCCACAACCGTCCAACACCAGGCTCACTCCTGGGGGGCACTGAGGTGGAGTGGAGGGGCAGGAACACTGTCCGCTGCAGTCCTGACCTGCAGCCTGAGAACACAGAAACACATTCAGGTAAATAACACACATATGGACAGAGATGTCTTCAAATGAGAGTAAACAGACTTGAGGGATTCAAGCTTACCATGCATGAAAACATGACGCACAACACAGGGAGAATCACCATTTTCTTCACTCCAGCAAACATCTTTTCTCGTTTTCAGTGATCAAGTCAGATTCTTCCAAAGTCTTCGTGGAGAAAGTCTTCCTTTAGTCTCAGCGTTTGAGCTCGTAAACGTCTTCCGATCGAGTTGATCTCTTGTCAGTCTGTCTTCTTTTGCGTTCTTCTTGTGAAAGCTAGAGTTTAGCTTCAGTAGAGGAGTTGATCTGAGTTCTGACTGCACAGCCCGGCTCCCTTTATACTCACTGGCCCTCGCAGCGCGTCACTGGGAGCTGAATGGAGAGCCAGCCCTGGACAAACATGGACATGCTTGGCATTCTTTCCTCGCTTCCTGACCCCCACTCCAGACATCCCACATTCCTGCTGTCTGAAGAAGAAGCGGACCTGCTCTGCCAAACAACTCTCTCTCTCTCTCTCTCTCTCTCTCTCTCTCTCTCTCTCTCTCTCTCTCTCTCTCTCTCTCTCTCTCTCTCTCTCTCTCTCTCTCTCTCTCTCTCTCTCTCTCTCTCTCTCTCTCTCTCTCTCTCTCTCTCTCTCTCTCTCTCTCTCTGCTTTCATCTGTGACGGGAGGATTGGTCTGGTTAGAGGCCTGGGACCCCACACTGGGAATTCCTAAAGACTGACTTCACAAACAGACAGCCGCTACCTATAAATATTATATTTTAAAAAGAAAAAAAAAAACGGAAGGCACAAGTAAGGGGAAGGCTGCCCGGTTCAAAAGTGAAGCCACAAATAGCTTTACATGAAAGAGAAGCTGTAAAAAGCAACAGGTAGACGCTCATTAAAACCTGTAAAATGGCGAAACAAACAAATTGATGTGTAGCGGGTGGGCAAGACTTAAAGACCACAACAGCATTCCACAACCTCTGCTTCAAAGACGCACAGACATCATGTACTTTGGGGAATGAACATTAAGCGGTCGGGAAAAGGAAATCATTAACTTGAGCTGGTTATCTGTCTAAGCCCGCGTTCCACTACAGAGACCTTCCAACTGCTGTCTTGTAACTTTGTCCTCTCTTCTCATGTGGTTTTGTCTGGGAAACTGTAGCTGGATTTTTCCTCGCTGAAGTTTCTTTACTTAAGCCCATTGTGTGCACATTATGTTCTCTTCAACATGAGCAAGGCGCCTGGAGCACAAACGCCCTCTAATGCAGTAGACACAACATTCACATCGCTGACGACTCTTTAGAAATAATGAGTTTTAATTTTACGGGCAGATGTATTATTTTCCTGCTCCAACAAAACTACTTGGTCATCATGTCACAAGGAAGCTTGTTAATCACTATTCACTTCAAATCAGATGTGCTGAATAGGAGGATCATATGAAACATGCAGAATGGTGGCCCTCGAGGATCGGGATTGGACACCTCACAGCTCCAAATACGCACAGCCTCTGTTAGGGCCACTACTTCTCTATGGTAACCTGGAATGGACAAACCAAACATCTAAATATGTGGAAACACCATAGTTTCTTGAGGACTCCTGGGGGAGACAGAAAAGGCTAAATTTACTTTGTTGCAGTCTGCAATTTCACCACTAGATGGCTCTACATTTCTCACGCTGCTCCTTTAAGTGATGGAGATATTAAAATGAAACCAGCTGAAATTAAATGGCTTAAAACCTTAAGAAATAAATGGCATAAGTTGCATTTAGGCACAATTGAGTTAAGTGAATAAAACGGTTTTATGAATTGGAAAAAAGTGCGTCATGGATTATTTTAGGCTATGACAGATTTTTGTTATTTCAGTGTTTATAAAGTTTAAAACAATGTTCTAAATACCACTAATTCAGTGCCTTTACTAATGCTCAGCATGTCCTTTAAGAAAATGTAAACCAAATTGTTCTTTCTTAATAATTATTTACTTTCCACAGCTTGAAACTAAAACTATGTTTATATTTATGTTTATGTTTATGTATTTAGCAGACGCTTTTGTCCAAAGCGACTTACAGGTGATATTCAAGCCAGCAGGTTGCCCTTGAGGCTATCAACAATCAGTCAATCCTAGGTGGCAGTGAGGCAGCATAATCAATCATAGAGGGAAGCGAACGAGGAGTGTGCAGTAGAGTGGGAGACGAGTGCTGGGAGGGTGCTAGTTTAGAAGGTGCTCTCTGAAGAGCTGGGTCTTCAGACGTTTCTTGAAAATTGACAAGGAAGCCTTTGTTCCAGTAGTGCTTGGCAGGTCATTCCATATCTGTGGAACGACACATGAAAAGAGTCTGGATTGTCCTGAGTGTGGTGTAGGCACTGCTAGCCGACGATCCTCCCATGACGGGAGCGGAGTGATGACGTAAGCCTTTGCAAGAGGATTCAGGTAGATGGGAGCCGTACCATCTAGGATTAGCTTATCTAGGCGGACTTGTTCAAATAAATCCTTTCCAATTATCATCCAAAAGGGTTGAAATTGGACTTCTTTGGTTTCTTGAAGCCGTTTCGCTTCTCATCCGAAGAGCTTTGTCAATTCTAACTGGAATATTGGAGGGTCAAGCCTCTTCCGGCTCTTGAAGAGTACAGATGCTTTTATCCTCCTCTCCTCCCTATCTTATCCCAAGGCTCTTTGTCTGTCTTTGGGTGTACGGCGCTTCTACATTTTTTCTGGAAACTGGAAATTATTAAAAACGAACCTGGTCAGCTGGTCTCTCAACGGGATTGACAACATTTTTTCAACGATAAGAACGGGAGAAGGGGCTCCCGGGTGCCTCTCTGGGACAGATTCAGTTGGGCATATCATGGACTCCTGAAAACAGTGGAACCTGATTTGCCTCTCTCAGCTGTCTGTAGAGGATTCTGAAGACGTCTGGATATTTGTGGTCTGGGAGGTTACCTGGCTTACCGGAAAATTAACGAGCTGTCGAGGGCTATTGGCTCTTTCCCGGAGCTCTGGGATGGATTACACCGCGCTGTGGATGCACAGACTCATATAATTGTCGAGATGAGTCGTAAGCTTGGAACTTTGGCCGAGATTCATGCTTTGGCACAAAGATAGATGCGATCAAGGAGCAAGTGGACGAATCAGCACGGATTGGGATCAATTAATTACGCCATTATTGGGATTTTGAGAGGTTGAGGACCAACGGAACTTTAAGACAGAGAGAAAATGATCTCTGTCTGGCCCCAAAACAATTTCTTATCTGAATCTGGTGCCCTTGAGCCTGTGAGGCTGAAACGACACCGCCACCCCCCCCACCCCCCCCCCACCCCCCCAAGAGATGTGGAAATGTGGAATGCTGCCATGGCAACTCTGTCTCCCTATCCCAGTCTGGGCGGGACTGCGAGCTGTGAAGGCGGCTGAATCGTTCCAGGAGTCTCTGTGCCCTCTAAACCCAACGACCTCCTCCCCCTGTCCAAACGGAGGTGACATGCGCTGCTTATCGTGGCTGCATTCACTGATGTGTGGTGAGTCCCAAACTCACCTCCCCACCTAGTGGACACTTATGTTGTGTTGTCTGAAGTCTGTTGCATTTCTGTCTGAGGTGCTTTTTGCATAGCAAAGCTGCCCTCCCTGTGGAGGGTAACTCTGAAGTGCCTTTTTTTCCTCCACCTGAACCAATCCTCATGTAAACCCTCTGATCTCTATTAAGGTAGCACGACTCAGGGTTGCAAATGACCACAGTCACCAATTCTTGTCATGTGTCTTGCCCATGTATGTCTGATCTCAGAATTGTGTGTACTGAAACTCTAATTTCCCTCTGGGATTAATAAAGTATCTTTGATGAGCTGTAGCTGTTTATAGTTGCTTAACTACCAGAAACTACTCTGAATACCCCTCCTCCCTACCCCCTGATGAGTACCTCCCTCACAATGAGCTTTCATTGTGAGGGAGTCGTTGTGTTGATTAGATGCAGGAAGGTGTGACCTTGACTGAAACTGCTTAGGAATGAGATTCAAAGCTACATTAAAGGTACTGGAAAGGTGAAATATCAGTCCAGAATTTGTACTTTGCCATCTTCAAAAGTGTGTTCCTTGACCTTCAGGTGTAAGGGAGTCTTGACCTGAAGAGGTGGCTCTCCTGTGTTGTGCCATGTGCTTGTATAGTTGTTGTTTAGTTTCCATCACAGTTCAGAAAAAGTTGCAGGCTGTTTATTTCTGTCATTGACTGATGTTAAACACAAAACCGGATCCTATGGATTTTTCTTCTTTACTTACCGGAAATAATTAAGGTGATTAAAGGTAAGTTGGACAGGAATTTGCATCATTCTGTTATTAGCAGATTAACGCTGGTCATTCTGAGCAATAAGCTGCTTTTCTTACTTCCCGACTGGAACATGTTTAACCAGTGAGTGGAGATTTTATCTCACGTTGAACAGAACATCTTGAGTCTTGTCCGGGATAAATGATGATTGTAAATTATGCTCTGACTTGAAAGTGCAGCAAAGCAGGGTCAGCACGCCCAGGACAAAGACAACCTTCTCTCGGATTTCTCACCTGCCTAATGAGGTTTAGTCTGTGACAGACTTGAAAGGCCAGGTGTGCCCTGTTCCCCGCCAGGCTTATTTTACAACATCAAACCTGAAGTTAAGGTTTTCAGGAAAAAGGCTAGACGGACGTTTGTGTATTTTCTTTTCTTCTTTTTCTTTTCCCCCCTCCTCTTCGGAAAAGGGTATCTCACACCAGGCTAGACTCCAATGAAAGGCTGCCCCGCTCCTTCTCCAGCCAGCAAATCGGAAATGAAAAACTCCTGGAGAAAGTTGGAACTGAAGGAAAGGAATGTAGGCAAATGCCAGCAGACTGGGTTGTTACTAGAGAGGAAGTGCCCATATAAGGGTGTCTACTCTTTTCCTAATAAGGCTATGTTTTCTTTCTTTGCTGGATCAGTACAGTAGGAACTCCTGCTTGACCTTCAGTCCTCTGGTGTGAAAGTGTGAACGTTTACTGAGAGTGTGTTTGGATTCTTGTGCCTCTATGTGAAAATCAGACAGGAGTAAGTGTGTGTTGTTTGTCATCACAGCCTCAGGACCCAAGCTGGAATTCCAGGAAGCTGCTTGATGGAGGAACATGCTCCCGCCGCTCTGCAAAACAACACTCAGACATTGTTATCTCACATGGAAAGCAATCTACTCTAGTTTTTGTCAGACTGTTTTGCACATGTCGCTAATCTTCCATCACACCACTTCTGCAATGTTTTTCTTTATTCTGACATTAACCAGATTACAGAGAAATTCCATTGTTTCATGCTTTGAATCATTATCGCATGCTGCTGAAAACAGTGTGTGTGTGTGTGTGCGTGTGTGTGTGTGTGTGT